CAGATCGATATGAGGCCTATGGTGTCAATTTCCCAATTCGTTTAGATAATAGTGAACCAGCATAAATAAATGTTGGTGGGTCATCAGTAAAACTGTATCATGATCAATTTTTATAACATACTAACTTCAACAGATCTGGATGATTTTCAAGTTACATTGAATAAAGTGAACATACCAACCTATATATATATGGTATATATATATATATTATATATATATAGTATATATAGATATGGTATATATATATATATGGCGTATTTATGGTACCATACCAGATATCAGCATCCAACGAAGTGGTCGTGTGTAGTGGTCGGCGTTCGCCGCCAAGAGCCTTGAGGACCACAGCCGTGCACTATCTTTTTTATCCTAATTTTACTTAAAATAAATTCTACAGCCTTTTTTAGAATGTTACGTATTTTCAATTTTATTTTCCCTACTTTTCCTATTTTACTTAATTTTACAAACCGGTTTATTATATAGACAACTAAACAGGCCTAGGTGGATGGACCTATTTTTATTGGAAGTTTATGTAAGAACTAGTGCCTGAGCACTTGACGGGAATATTGTAGACATACCCTTAAAAATAAGTGACACTTTATGAAGGATCACTTTTAATTTAGAATTAAAATTAAAGTAATTAGTTAATTTAGCCACATAACATATAGGCCTGATTGGTTAGGGCCTATTCACTTTTGTTCAAAGTCTAGTCAACAATTTATTTTCATTATTTTTGCATTGTATCCATTTGAATCAAAAACTCCTTTCAATAGCCGTAGTTTTCGACTCACCTGTTTGTTTAAATTTCTCTACATGGATAAAAAAAGGTCTATTATATAAAAGCTTATTATATTTTAGCCAAAGATACGTTATTAAAATTAATATAACAGCAGGATGTTTGAATATTTAAATAAATGCTCTTGGTTTGTCTGTGACATAAAAAATACATAAGTGAAACTATTTATCCCGTCTCAAAATAACAATACATTTTTAATCAGCAACTTGAAAATGCAATCTTCTTTGATGATGGCAGTCTGTATATAACATATTTGTCATTTTACACGTATTATTCGAGGAGGGTCCAGTCTCCACATCACTGGCGGATCACACGTACATTCACTCTGAAGTGGGTAACCGCAATGCAATATAAGGTGAAGAAGATAGATCCCAACTCTATAACGTCTTCTTCTAGTCCTCCACCTCATCTTTTGCTCTATAAACATATGAACAAATGTCTATATGTCTATGTTGAAATAAAAAAGAACCAATGTTTAAAATACTTACCATATTTTGTATTCAGTTTATTTACCAGAAATCTGAATACAAGTTAGACTTTGTTATATTTATATTTGCCTATTTTATTTTTTTTTATTTTTTTTTATATTTGCCTCCAGGATTGATTTATTGACATAAAATGAGGTTACTAACCTGTCGTCAATCAGTCCTATATTGTCGTGGATGACTATATTTTCGGGGTTAAAACCCCATTTTCAAATCTTCAAACATATTCTCTTGCACAATCCGTTGTCAAAATAACTTCACACATACACATACAAAAACATTTATAATTACAAAATCATGTACATGCACGTGAGGCCGGCCAACGACAAAACCAGAGTCGACAGGTTAGTAACCTCATTTTATGTCGAAAAGTTAGGCGTATTTGATAAAAAATCAACTTGAAAAAATGTCAATGTGTTAAGTAGGTTTTGTTACAGTATATTAAAGTGAGTATACTTATAAAACCTTGATATAAATGTGACCTGTGTTAAATATTTTTTAGTGTATATCATTTAGTATTTAATATTATTTTGTAAACGTATTGTAAAATAAGCCACTTCCTAGTATAACCAACACACATTATGTAATTTCAAGGAATCCTTAATTGCCTGTTTCCGATTTGTTCAATTAATTAATTTAATCCCTATCAACTAATCTAATACGCTTCACATACTCATAAACAAATTCAAACCGCACAGTGACAATTACAAAAAGAAAGAAGATAGGCTTATTGACTTCGTGATATCAATTTTAGGCTATATAATATTTATAAACAATACTATTGCATGATATAGTTTACAACTAATCGAAATAACTACTCACTGAAAGAGTAGTAAATTCCAATCACAGCGAGGCCAAGTACAAATCAAGGATCAACACAATCCAGAAGAGATCTTCTTCCACGCTGAACATCTTGACAATGTTACAGACAATGTACTACTGAGCACTATCTACTGTCTACGTCATGTGGTTCTTCTCCAGTCCAACGGCTTACGAAACGAGACAGAGACGTGTGCATTGAAATATGCTCAATGCTATGTGAGGTAACGTGCGTTGATGTTAGTGTGTATTATAAAATTGATTTTCTCAAAATAACTACATAGTTTGACGTCTAATTATTTTTTTTTTTTTGTATTTTATTAATGATTTTAAAATCTTTACATATTTGGTTTTATCTATGTTAATATGATAAATCTGAAAGTATTAACCCGCATTAATAATTTCTAGGTTATCAAACAATAACTAAAAAAAATCGCTTGGTGTAATAAACCAAATGAAAAAAATCTACCTATCCTGTGCTTTCATACTAAAACTATTTTTTTTTTAATAAACTCTTAGATTTAATCCAGCACTCTTCTTCTAGAGCTTACTTTGTATAAGAGGTTGCGCCAATAATCCTCTTCATGCTTAATATTAAAGGACAGGGATCATTCTGAATTTACATACTTAAGTTACTTTTATTAACTCAAAATTTTAACCTAGCATCCTTTGTATAGCATACTTCAGGTTAGATTTTTACTCTCTTGCCTAGCAAAAAGAAATCAGGGACGCAATTTTCAATGGTAAGAAATATCTGCAATTTTGACACCTGATAAATGTCGGCATTCTTTACAAGCCTAAACAAAATGAACAAATGCGTTCTCAACAAATCAACCATACCTACTAACTCTAACCTAATTTTGAAACATAAAATTAAATCATTGTACGCATCAAGTGCCACTTTCATTTCTGACATAACAATATAAGAGCTGATAAATCTCCTATGACCAACGCTCAGATACATTTTATATGACATTGACATTCGGTACTCATTTTGATTCTATATGCCTTTGTATTACCTAGTTTGACGAATCTTTTTCTTCTGTTCATCAGCTCCTAGACTCTCTTTATGAAGTATGTTCATTTTTTTAGTTTAACGTATTACAACAATAATATTAACAAGCAGACAATAATATTAACAAGGAAAAACTTAGGCTACAGTGAAACAGTTAATATTTTCACTATCAGGAAATATTTGCACTGTTATTTTAGTGTTGAAGTATGGTTTTGGGTAGGCCTAATATTAAAATCATTATGTAGGTCATTGTTAAAAAGCATGCCAATTCCATGAGCATTGTGTGAAGCGTGACCTTAATGTTGTCACGCTAAGATAATGATTTGCAAAATGTTACGCTACAATAAGTATCCAATTGGTTTATCTAATTTTTGATAATCAAACAGAAGTAGTATTCCCGTTAAAACACGTAGCATTTGATCAGAAATCAAAAAATATTATACGAAAAAAAATTTTGAAATAACGATTTTGTCAGAAAATATGGCTCAATGTGGTTCAACTAGACTAACTTGACCTTATTTTGTCTCATTTTACAACTAACTATGGTGATTCAAAAAAAAGGAATGCCCATAAAACCATATCTTGGAGTTTGGCTGTTTACTTGCAAGACACTCTGTATCATATATGATTTCTAACCAGCTCGAAATTTCTCTGGACAGTGGAGGCTATCTATTGTATTTTAAGCATTATAGCCTATGTTATCTGTACCCAAGACTGTGATGATTTTGAAAAGTGTGTAGGGATTTTTCTCCTAAACTGCCTACAAAGTTTTAAAATGTTTGTGTTGCAGCGTGTTGTGTGTCGACAAATGTTACAAAACGACAAACGTCAAAACTTGAATTTGCTCTGGAAGCTATCTATCCTTAAGCATTATAGCCTATATTATCTGTAGGCATACACAAGAGTGTGATGACTTTAAGTGTCAAGGGTTTTTCTCCTAAACTAGGCTAGGCTACCTAAATTTTTGTGTGAATAGGCCTAAGTAATTTCAATTAAACAAAGCCAAAACAAAAACGAAATATCCAGGAAATATTTGTTAATGGAAACTCCAATCAAGGGCTGCAAAAGATTCTTCAAGGTTAAAACTACTCATTATCCAATCCTAAAGTGTCTTTTGTATAGATAAAATAAATACTTAACTCTTGATTTGATGTCAATTAATATTTTCATTAATTATGCCATATACACCATAACGGTGTTGTTATTAGGAAAATTTGTTCTATGAAAGCGTGTAACATAAGGTATTTTAAATTAAAGCTTAAATTTATTATTATTTATTCTTTAATGTTTAGTTTCACGAGCAAAGCTTGGTCCCCAGGTACTATGATTTCTAACCAACAACGAGTAGGGTTCATATGACAGCTGTTTTGCCTAAAATGTTTGCCAAGAAGAGGAGGAATGTAAGATGAATTTCAATTATACGAGTGCTCCAGGAGTGTGTTTCCAAATATTTTTTACATACTAAATGATTCGATAGTAACCAAACCAATTTACCTAGTGTTTTACATATACTATACTTTTGGAATTTGAATTAATGAAAAGAAAAACTACTGCAACCCATCAACATTTCAAACTACTTAATTTTAAAATGATTGTATGTTAGGTTGATACAAATCTCCTGTAATTGAAATAATTTATTTTGAAAAGATTCAATTTTCTACTGATGAAATAATTTGTTTGTAAAGTATGTAATTGATCATCGTCTTTCTTAATATTATTGTAAAATATGACGATGCCATACGTATGTTTTGTATGTTTTACGGCAATAAATGATTTGATTTGATTTGATATAAATTGAGGGAGTTAAGTCACGGAGAAATCAAGGATGAAAAACCATTTATACTACCCTAAACAAATTGAAAATGTGTTACAAAATTGTATAAAGTAGTCACATTGTAGCACACATTGTAGTACATTGTGGTTGTTGTTGTTGCATGTAATTGTTGAATTCTTGCATGAGATGTTTTAAGAACATGCGATTCACCTCCATCAGGGTAGCTGCTGTCATGTACCTTATTGCTGAGGTTAGTAGCACCTCAGTGAAATGAGCTAGATCCCAGTTTTCTAACAAATCATCCATCTCATCATCTGATCTAGAAAGAAAAAAAGAATATTTTTGAATTATTAGTTACTATATTGGACTCAGTTCCAAAGAGAACACGAACAGTAGAATAGAAACAGTACGAGGCTTAAACAAATTACGTCACTGGCCAAAATCTTATACTTACAATATTAACATTAGGATTTGGGTGTTTTTCATGGCTGCATCATAAATAATACGAACCACTGACGTAATATGTTTATATTTATGGTCCATACTGCATATGCTCTAGTATTTGTGGCAGGGAACCTGCACCATACTGTAGATTTATTTGATATATAAATTGTATCAAATAAATCATTGAATTTTTCTACTGATTATAGCTATTTAATGCCATACATCTAAAAAAAAAAAAAACTTTACATGATTAAAAACTAAAATGAATTAGCCTAGCCCAACCTAATAGCAACAGCGCACTGTAGAATAATGGCGGATTATCTTATTCTTCAAATAAACCCGTTACAGAAAATGATTATTTGCATAAATGTTTATCTATATATTAATAGGCAACCATTTTTGTTTGAAACCTTTTTTCTCAGCCCGTGTGCATTGCAGGAAAAATCTACGCATACTGTTAGAAATATATTTTCCTGTAGACGTGCAGAATCCCTTTTAACATTTAAATAGACTCAAATATAAGCACAAAAAAAGAATTTGAAATGAAAAAATTACATGGGCTTTATGGGTTTCCATGCTGGTAACGAAATAACAACGAAATATAAACAGAAAATCCAAACAAATGGAAGAAATTACAATCACATGTTTTATTTACATCGTGTGTGAAAATAGATAAGCAGGTACCTATTAATTACAACTAGACAATCCGTCCCTATGTTAAAGTTGTTGCCAAATTAATTTTGTCGTCGTCGGTTTGAGCCACCAATAGATTGCACTGATTTCTACACACGAAATCGATTTTTTTTCGTGTTCGATAGATACACGATGTTTTTACCAGCCAAACTCATAACAGTTGCTATAGCTCATAATAAGCTTATGGAATGGCTTATTAGGAACTATAGCAACTGTTATGACCAATTCACTCTGTCAGCAAAATAAAGGTATAAAATACAATTTTAGACACGCATTCGTGACAGGCTCACACAACTCAACATGTTTATTGATTAAAAAATAGCGACAGCTGGCCCATATAGATGAGATGTCTACTTCAGTATCCAATAGTCAATGCGTAGTAATTATATATTTTTGGTCGAGTTTTCGACCACTGGGCGACCACTAGTATCAATTAAAATACTGAAATCTATATTTGTTTTTAATAAGATTTTTATTATTGAGAAGTCGTAGTTTTCTATAACCCACAATAGTTTCCATCCACAATAGTTTTATAAGCAATAGCAGTATAAATACAGGGTGTTTTAAAAGTATGACGGGATTTTAAAAATTAAAATTTAAAGGAATGTTCTATTGATTTTTTGTTATAATACAACATGATATTTATACAAGGTGTTCATAAAACACGTTTCAGGAATTCGGGATATAAATCATCATACAAAAAGAAAACCGTATACGTGAAGGTATGTCCAAAAATGGATATTTTACCCAGATAACCACCATTTAGTATATTATACATAAAATTATTTTTTAAAGTTTGTCAACAGAACGTTATGGTACTTGTTTTGTATGTTATAGTCACACAGACCTATCTTAAGATAAAAAATAAGTTGGTACATTTAGAAATTAAAAAATTGCGGCTGTTTTAATTGGTATGACTTAAATTACATACAAAAAATAGCTCATTTTATGAAAATATATCACGAACAAGTTTGAAAAATAATTAATATTAATCAATATCTCCTATTAAATGGCACCAAAATCAAAAGTAACGAATGATGAATAACAGAAATATAAAGTATTTGGTTGTAAAATAAGGCTAAGTTAGTCAGATTGCACCTCATTTTGCCTTCATTTACAACTAAATCCCGTAATATTTCAGTTATTTGTCGTTCGATGTTTTTCTCAACATAGATTATAACTATAATAAACATAATTAGTTTCATAAAGATCAGTTGAAAGGTTATAAAGAGAAACATTTGTACGTATAAAAAACTAAATGCCAGATTATCGGGTAAATATACATTTCCCGACATACCTTTACGTAACATTTCTTTCTTTTCGTACAAAGATCCATATCCCAAGGTCCTGAAAAGATTTTTTAAGGACACTCTGTAAATATGATCAAGTAAATTTAAAAATAAATACCTAGAAACTTAACAAGACACTTACGAGAAGTACACCACATTCACAGCCAAGCAAAGGATAATATTAAAGGCCATGACAATCCAGCCAAGAGTTTCTTCTTCTATGTACCACATCTTGACAATAACACAGCCACTGAAGAACTGAACTGAGTGATATTCGGCCACGTCAAGTGTGTTCATCTCAACGACGTACGGAACGAAACAGAGACGTTAGGGTGGACTCATGCTCAATGCTGTTCTAGGTATATTAACCACTCACGATGTTGTATATTGTTATAAATGTATATTGATTCTTTACATTACTAATTTGACATCGTTAATGATTATTTTTTCATAATTGAATAATGACTATTCCATTGTAATAGCACGACTAGAAACTATGTAACTATGTAGGTAAATATGCACTTCCCATCTCATATGGTGGTATATGAGATGGGAAGTGCATATTTACCTACATAGTTAATAGAAAAAAGTGCACTAAAATGATTGTTATACTTATGGATCAAAACGTGTTGTAATATGTTTCATATTGCCTCAATGTTTTTATGTTCTTTGTACTTTTTAATGCCATACATTTATTTCAATTTTAGTGATTTCTGCCATATATTTATTTCAATTTTAGTGATTTCTGATTGTCTTGTCTAAATTCCATTGCAAATACAGTTCTTTTATTCGTAATAGTGTGACTTTATTTTCTACATGTTTTGTGTTTGATATCGAGACTACAGAACACTCACTAGAATAGCTGTTTTTGATTTGTTTTAGGTTTTAAAATTCTCTGTTCATGTTTGTGTTTAAGCGTCAAATTTTTTAAATAATGTGGTTGACTAACCAACGTTAAAGTTATATATTAGATGCATGAGGTCTTAACTGCTAAGAGTTATTTGTAGTTTTTTCCAAATATAAATATTTCCTTAAGGCATCACCCATGTGTAGAGTGACCGGCAATAGTATACCTAGTTCTAGTTTAAACTAGTTTACAGATTCTCCATCATACCTGAACCACTGTGTAAAGCAAACTTATTGTCAAAGAGGATCTTTTGGTTTGGTTTAGTAATTATTTGAAATCTTTAAGCTGTCACTAAATCCAATAAAGTGTTAGAAGTACTTGCCAAATACTGTGTTTTAAGATCCGTTGACCTAAGTGGCATTATAAAACCTATTGTTTCTCTGTCTTAGCTAATAAGGATTTCTTTTTTCGATCTGATCTTGAAGCATGCAATGGAGTAAACCCAATATTTAGCCACCCTTTAGAGTTTTAGGCCCATATAAAATGTACTACATATTTAAGTAGTACATTTTATAATTTAATTAATTTAATTTAACAGTTTTAATAGTAACCCAACATTAGGTATAAAATCGTTGGTATTTGTTATATGTAGGTGTTTCTACATAAAATTATATGTTAAACACACAAATGAATGTTACGAGACTTTATCACAGTTAAAACAAATTACGGTTTCCATTACAATAACCTAAACTGTGAGTAAATATGACCAGTAAAGACTAAAAATGAAAAGGCTTCTTTAATAATACAAAGGCGTTTGGAATGGAGTTATCACGGAGGATCAAATAAATATAGGAATTCAACTTATAGTATTCATTGCAGACTAAGCAGTTCTTATTCGGGCGAAAGAGGAAGATATGTAGTAACTTATTACTAAAGAAGATTATCACGGAATATTTTTATGTTTTTTAACAAGATTTTATTCTTTTATAGCAGGTTTTATAAACATCCAATTCAACAAAAATCACGACAGCACGAGTCATCAAAAAAGAAAATGAAACAAGGCAATTGTGCATGAAAAATTAAATCGTAACGAAAATCAATGTATTGGGTACTGTTTGCAGTTTAAATATTGGTTGCATAAAAGTGTTATGAATTTTAATATAATTAATATTAAATGAAATCTACAATGGGGATATACAGAATGTTAGAAGATACTCCTTTCTTTACTGAAAGAGTGACTTTTCGGTAAGGAACAACTTTTACATCAAAACTCACTCAAACGTATAACTTGGGAATGTGAATTCATCTCGAAGACGTATGTTTTAGCACTTGCAAACTCGTAAGTCTGTTTGAAACAATATTAGTCTGTGCGGTTTTTTGTTGTTCTTGGTTTTTATGACTTTCATATTACCCAAGTAGTTAAAACTACAGATTTTCTTATATAAGAAAGGCAAGGATATCTAGCCAATAATACCACTCATAAATAAAATAGTGCAAGTAACTAAGACGGTTTATTTTATTTTTTTAATCAGGTATGAAAAGTGTAAAACAATACTATAGGACATAAAATAACATTTACTCATAATTTTAGTAACATTTTTACCTTATATGCTAAACGAATTAGTAGACATTGCAACTTTTACACTTTAAAACGTTAAAAGAAAATAAATGATAAACTGATAAAAGATTCTGGTGATCAAAGTTGATTTAAAGGTTTTTTATTTCGATAAAACAAGTTGAAATAAATCGTTAAAGTGACGATGCTATTTTTATAAGCTGAATACACTTTTAAATTTTTTATCAAGGTGGTAACAAACAGTATTTTAATAATTTAAAATTTACAGTGCATTTATAAGGTCTAAGGTAATTAGATTATTCATTTTATGGAGTTTTTTTACAAAATGACCGGTAGTAATCAGCTTAAAATTCGCAAGTATATACATTGAAAGCATTTATACTTCTGGTAATGTACTTTTACCTATCTTACCTGCAAACTGACTAAAGAACGAATATTAACAGACAAATATAACTTTCTGCAAACTTGAAATGTTTCAATGAAATATTGTATGCGGAATGGTGGTCAGCTAGCAGTAAAAGATTTATGCTAAAAAGTCGCCTATCCTCGTCACAAGTCTTTTCTGTCACATACGGCTACCTTAGTTTTAAAATGGTGCACAATGTTGGATGTGTTAGAATAGGCTAGTGGCAATTGAAAAAAATATCTTCACTTGGCAAGTAATGGGAGTTTGCTATGGTTCTCAGGGAGCAGGGTTGGACTAAATAATAAACCTAAGTTATTAATGACTGATAAGTATTCAATGATCAACGCTCAGTTGCATTTCTAGATGCCTTTGATATTTGTTATTGATTGCATTCTAAATGCATTTGCATTATACGATTTAATTAATTGTATTCTCATGATATCCGAGACCCCTGTCAAGTATGATGTTTTACTCATAGTTAGGTTTGCTAAAAGACTAAGATAATCAGACGACAGTCCAAGCCAGTACTAAACAAATAAAAACAATCGTAGATGATTTTAAATAAAGCCAGACAATCTCTTCACTTTTATTGAATAGAGACAACAAATTACTAGAGAGGTTCCAATGGACATGTTTTTGTAATGAATAATCACTTTTATATTTAATTTCCTATCAAAGGTCCTAAATTCTTCAGATATTTAATTGCCGAATGTAATCTCAGAGTATATAAAATTATTTAACATAAAACAATAGAATAATAGGCTAAACGTTTTCAAGCAAAACTGTATAAATAGCACATTGTTGACATATAATAAATATGGAAGCTATACAACAAGAGTGCAATTATGCTGAAAGAGATATCATACACATATTATGATGTATTTGTAAAATACAGTACTATACTTCCAGATTTCCTGTTCAGCTTGATTAATACTGTTTAATTCTGAAAAACGTTGTCCAATTAACCCTAATCATTGGGTAGCACATTAAAAATAACGAGCTGTTACCTAATCACCACAATTTCATTAATTGGGTGGATTTTCCACCTCTACTTTTGATTTTAAACGATTATAAATTTATAAAGAGTCACGTTTTCCAAACTTTTCCTGTAAGTTTAATGACATACATGAAAACGTTGCGACCAATATTTGTATACTTTAAAGACATAGTTTTAAGAACAAAAAAAAAACATGATCTATTATATAAATACTTATTCCCATTTAGTTTAGAATTTAATAATAGATCATAGTTGTATATAAAAAAATAGTACCTGAAATGTTCAAATGAACAAATCTTACCGGCAAACTTTGCATCTTAAATTTCAAAAAAGCTGAAATAATTAATATTGGTGTGAAACTTAACGTTGCTCTTGTTTTTATGCTTAGTAACAAAATTCAAGAATCTTATCAATCTTATTAGCTTAAGTCATTGGTAGTATTGATTTGAAAGTTTTCAGTAGGTAAAGCTATGGCATTTAATGAGCAAACTGTAATTTATGGTACTTAGAAGTATCTATTTAACTATTTAATAATAATTTAATTTGGCATAGTTAAATCAAAACTATTGCTAATGAGTACAGATTTGTTTAAAGATCTTATACACTTTGTTTAGTCGTAGAATAGCTTTGTTAGTACTACAAGTACTAAATGGTTTGTTTAGTACAAGTGCTTAGCGATTATGCACGACGATAATGCTAAATTACAATCTGTGTCCTGAGACGATATACAGACAAAAAATACAAATAAAACCAATATACATGCCTATATATATCGCATAGCATGGATCATTGTGTGAGTCCAAACGTCTTTGACACAATCCATTGGTCGTTGAGTGTTGAATCATATGACGTGGACGTTGGAAGGGTGCTCAGCTGCGTATTATCAGTGTGCGTTGAGTACGTGCAGTATAGTAAACACTAGACATGGAGATCGACGCAGAACAGGACTTCCTTATCTGTAGCGTCGTTATCTTCTTCATTGTTGTGGTTTTCTTGAGATGCTTTATCAGTGAGTAACCCCTTAGTGGCTAGAAATTTATTATTTTTAACCTATGTTCTTATATAACGACAAATCCTGCATCATTTGATTACATTAAAACTCAATCTCTGATTGCTACTTACAAAATGATTAGGGCTATGATGTAGTCAATTTGTAAAATACAGTACTATACTTCCAGATTTACGATTCGATAATATCATACGTAATTTGACAATGCCTATTCCTATGTACAACTTGGTCAATTACGATAAAAATTCTTATTCTTATTCTTATTCTTACTATGATGGGATTTTATCATGCGAGCAATACATGGGAAATTGGGGGCCTTTGGATTGGATGAGTAAATATCCTGATTGAATTCAAAGTTTTTTTTTTTTAATATCTAGTTGCACAAACAATAGTACATCTTGATTAGGACAACCTTAAAATGTTTCATATAATGAACGTATTTTTTGCTAATGATCATTAAAA